AACAAAGCATGTACAACCAAAGGTTTTAAGGGGAATGGTAAATAACTTTTTATCAGGATATAAGAGGGTAAATGGAGATTTCATGTCAAGAACCCGTGAAGGAATCCTATTGATGAGATACATTGTTGTATGAACAGCATCCCCCCAGAAACGTATAGGCACATTGGAGGTAAACATAATGCTTTTGGCTACCTCCAATATGTGTCTATTCTTTCTCTCAGCAACCCCATTTTGCTGTGGTGTATGAGGACAGGTACTCTGATGGAAAATCTCATGTTCAAGCAAATAGGAGGCTAATGGGTTTGCAAAATATTCTTTCACATGATCAGATCTAAAAATTTTGATTTTGACCCTAAATTGGGTTAAAATTATCTGATGAAATATCCGGGTTAATGTTGGAACCTCATCTCGAGAACGCATGAGATAAATCCACGAAAAACGAGTATAATCATCAACAAACAATAGGAAATATCTGTACCTCCCCATGGAGGTGATATGGTAAGGTCCCCAAACATCAGTATGCACAATTTCAAAGGGAATATTACTTATATTATTACTTAATGAATAGGTTGTCCTGCAGTGTTTTGCAAGTTCACAACTCTCACATTTCAAACTAGACATCTGGATAGATTCAAATAAACTAGGAAACAAACTCTTCAAAGCCCGAAAAGATAAATGACCCATCCTATTATGCCAAAGCATAGCCTGATCAACAGACTGAGAAACACAAGACCTCTTAGTCTCACTATCTTCCCAATGAGGACTCCCTCCAAGCAGATAGACTCCATTTGCCTCACGGCCAGTCCCAATCACCGTCCTTGTCTCCAAATCCTTAAAAACACATCGATCCGGAAAAAAGGTTACTGAACAATTTTGGTTTTTTGTAATGCTACTAACTGAAAGCAAGTTAGTACTAAGCTTAGGAACATGCAAAACTGAAGATAAGGAAATAGCATTAGACAACTTGATGTCTCCTCCCTTGCCAGAAATAGGAACGAGGGAGCCATCAGCAATGGACACTTTGTCTCTAGCTAAAGATAAGTGATAGGTAGTAAATAGTGACGGCAAGCCAGTCATATGGTCAGATGCTCCTGAATCTATTATCCATGAATGTTCAGTATTACTTGTAACTGAGGCATGATGAGTTGAGGCCCGATTACCTGAATGAGCAAAAGCTGAGGTAGGGGGTGCTGATGGTGTCCGAGGAGGTGGAGCTGAATTACCAACTTCATTTTCCAGCTGAACTAGAGCAGCTCGGACAGTAGCTAGAGTATCTAGAGGATTGCCTCTTGTGCTAGATGATGTTGTACTATTAGTGTTAACAGCCATATTTGCATTCCCCTTTTTGTTTCTGAATTTTGCTAGAACTAGATGTGGATGTAACTTCCAACAGGTCTCTTTAGTATGTTTAGGTTTCTTGCAATGCTCACATACTAGTTCCTTCTTAGCTTCCTTCTTTATGTCTCTTTCCTTATCACTCCTAGATTGGGCTTAACTGCTGCCAGAGCTGATTCAAAAGGTTGTTGCTGTAGCATAACTTTTCTCCTAGTCTCTTCGCTGTGCACTAAGGAATAGGCCTGGGACAGAGTTACACTGTCTCTTGTCAACAGTTGTTGCCTCACAATATCGTATTCCGAATTTAGACCATCCAAGAACTCAAACACTCTATTAGTTTCAATCTGCTTTCTGTAAATATGTGCATCCTTCTGACTTTCCCATTCAATTGATTCAAGGTGGTCAATTTCATGCCACAGGGATTTCAAGATTGAAAAATAAACAGAAACTTGTTTCTCACCTTGCTTGAGATTTTTAACCTCACATTTCAGCTCATAAGCCCTAGCAACATTAAGGGGCTG